ATAGAATCCACCTATAAAGGACTGGGCCCTCCCTCATTAAGAAAATGCCCCACAACTTGCCTACTGTAGATCTCTCTCTCTGTCTCTCTCTCTCTCTGTCTCTCTCTGTCTCTGTCTCTGTCTTTCTGTCTCTCTCTGTCTCTCTCTCTCTCTGTCTCTATCTCTCTCTCCAGGGTTTCTCTGTGTAACAGTTCTAGCTGTCCTGGATCTCACTTTGTAGACCAGGCTGGCCTTGAACTCACAGAGATCCGCCTGTCTCTGCCTTCCAAATGCTGGGATTAAAAACATGCACCACTACTGCCCAGCATATCAGATTTTTAAGGAGATATTTTTTTAAATTAAGGTGCCCTCTTCCAGGTGACTCTAGCTTGTGTTAAATTCACATAAAAACTAGCCCCACAACTCCTTCAAATTTTCATTTGAATGAATCCTCCCAAAGCCCGGGATCATGAAGCAAGAACTTTAAAAGTTGTAACACCTTGAATCTTGACTTTTCTAGTCTCCAAAACTGTGAGAAATTAGTCTTCGTTCTCTATTAATTACTCAGTCTTAGCCATTCTGTTACAGCAACACAAAATGCACTAAGATCGACTCCTAGTCTGCCCTTAAGGGGGTTACTCTAGAGCAAGCTGAATAGAGGTGGTACACATCTAGAATCCCAGAACTTGAGAGTGGAGGCAGGAGGATCAGGAGTCAATGCCATCTTGGCTACATAGCAAGTTTGAGGATAGCCTGGATTACATGAGGTAGTCTAAAAATAAAACAAAAAAAATCCACAATAAAATAGTAAAATAAGTTACTCTAGAGCATATGCCCAGGAGAAGAATGTCCAGGCCTTGGGATGTATACATATTCAATTTTAGGTGATATTCACATTTTTTCTCAAAATCAGATTTTTTTAAATTTAATGTGTGTGTGTGTGTGTCCTTAAATACTGAATCCTCAGAACAACTGGTGAGTTTAAATTTTATTATTTAGTTATTTATACTGGGTCTTATTATTTAATCCAGGTTGGAGTTGAACTCACCATCCTCCAGTATCAGCCCCCAAGTGCTGGGATTATAAGCAGGTCCACCACCACACAGTGTGGTGGTTTTGAATGAGAATGGCTTCCACAGGCTCATATGTTTGAGTACTTGGTTCCCAGTTGGTAGAACTGTTTGGGATGGCCTAGGAGGCGTGGTCTTGTTGGAGAAGTGTCAACCTACTTCCCTCACTTCTTTCTCAGAAGTGTCTCAGCTATTTTGGCTTGTCAAGTTCCTTGAAAAATCTTGTGGAAATTTCTATTCAAATAGATTGACCGTATAGAAGGAACTAATATTTTCCCAACATAGTTATCTTATTTATGATAGGCTTATTTCAAGTTTTATAATTTTCTCCCTGTAAATCTTATCCATTGGTTGTATTTTAGCTAACATGCTAGTCCTTGTACTGCAAATTATTCACAAAAGTAGTTGCAGTGATCCCCACCGCACCTTACTCTTGTTCCTTTGCAATGTTTACTTCCTCTAGTCAAGAAGGAAACTGGAACCAGCAAAATGGAGCTGGGTAGAAGCACTTGTACCACAAGTCTGGCTATCTGGGTTTGATCCCCTGATCCCATGGTGGAAGGAGAGAACTGACCTCCCAAAATTGTCCTCTGACCTCTACACATAGCCTAACATGTATGCAATTGCTCTTACACACACACACACACACACTCATTCACATGCCATGCATATACTTATACACCCGCCATCAATAACAATAGATAACATTTTTATTTTATTTTTGGTTTTTGAGACAGGGTTTCTCTGTGCAGTTCTGGCTGTCCTGGAACTCAGGATCTACCTACCTCTGCCTCATGAGTGCTGGAATTAAAGGCATGTACCACCACCATCTGGCTTACTGTATTTTATTTTTTTAAAGAAAAAAAAAACACTTTCTCAACTCCTTGGAGATAAGTTGGCTTTGTGATTTGCTTTGACCAATAGAATACAGCAGAAACAATGCTGAAGAGTTTCCAGGACCGAGCCTTAAGAAGCCTTGCAAAATTTACATTTGCTCTCAACCGATGACTTTGAGAGGACTAGCTTGGTTTAGCCACAGAGAACAAAGGTCAACTCTCATAGCTAGGGAGTCCTAAACCTACTTGGGCATTTGTCACTAGACATGTGAAGAGATTCAGTCATCCAGCTCCAATTCAAGCTGTTGGATGACACAATCATATAAATGACCCCAGGAAGCCCGAACAAACGGGCTGCCTCTTTGAGTCCAGCCTTAATTGTTAATACCAGGAGCCAAGCAAATAAAATTGCTATTGTTTTAAGTCACTTAGTTGTGGGGCAGATGGTCATGTTTGCCACAAAGAAAATTTGTCTGATTTAAAGTGACAAATTTGTTTCTGTTTTTAACCTTTACTGCTACTTTTTTTGCTTTATCGTACTTGGATATGAGCACTGTTGTAAGCATCTGTATTTACTGCTTTATTTTTAAAAGGATTTATTTCAGATGTATAACTGTTAATGTGAACTTTTTTTTGGTAGATAGTATCAGGCTTTGGAAGTTCCCTTTAATTTCTTTCTTTTCTGCTTCACTTAAAACTTTCAATTAAAGATAAACATAAAGTTTTACAAATATTTATATTGCAATATATTGAGATGATTAGCATCACTAATCTGTTAATGAGGCCAGTGATATTTACAAAAGGTGATGGATGCTTTTCTGTGGGGATGCTGATCTCCTGGAGTTCTCCTAAGAGTAAATTATCATAAAAACCTGAGCCTGATCCCTGAATTACTCCGAGACTTCCTGTTCAGTGACAATCTCTTGCTTCCACAAATACTCTTGTGATTGCCATCAGTGTTGAGCTGAGGTCAATGATATCTCTTTGAACCCCTAGTGTGAATCAAATAAATCTCTTTCCTTTTTAAAGATTACCTGCCTCAAGTGCTTCGTTTCAGTAAGCAAAGAAAAGCATGCTAGTAATGACGAGAATAGTTAATACTGTCTCAGGCAAGTAAAAAGTGAGGCTATGCAATAAATCGGGTGTCTTTCTAGACTTCTTTGTTTTTATAACATTCTTATTTGCAGTACTGGGAAATTGAACTCAGGGGCTTGCATTGCTGGGCAGATGTTTTACCACTGAGTTACCCTAGTCCCTTCCTCACCGCTTTTAATTTATTTTAAGACAATGTCTTGCTCAGTTGTCCAGACTGGCTTTGAATTCACAATGTAACCTAGATATACTTTGATCTTTTGACCACCTGCCCAACATATTTGTAGTTAGGATTATAGGTGTGTGTCACCATGTCCAGCCTACAGTCCATTTGTTTTATGTGAACAGCTACCTGGTTTCCTTTTGCTTAGCATTTGTTTGATATGCCTTTTCCTGTAACTTTACTTTCAACTTTTCTGAGACATTGTTTTCAATATATTTCAATTAAGTGGCATATAGTGAGACTTTAAAAAAATCTGTGTACTTTAACTGGACAATTTTGGTCATTTACAATTTAGCTTTTTTCCTGTCATTTACCTTTTTGCTTTCTATCAGCCCACAACATCTTTACCATCTTTTCCTGTTGTTGGAAGTTTAAAAATGGATTGAATTTGTGTTTATATCCTTTTTTGTTTTGTTTTGTTTTTGTTTTTTCAAGACAGGGTTTCTCTGTATTGTTTTGGAGGCTGTCCTGGAACTCTCTCTGTAGACCAGGCTGGCCTCCAACTCACAGAGATCCACCTGCTTCTGCCTCCCGAGTGCTGGGATGTGTTTATATCCTTAATGTTTCCCTATTTTTTGGTGAATTAATATTTATATATGTAATATATAAAAATATATAATGAAAGTATATAACATGAGTTGTATACTACTAGTAGATATTCAATGTGTGTATACATATAATAAAAGTATTTTATATATATGTATATAATAAAAGTATTTTATATATATGTATACACACAGATATATATATATATATATATATATATATATATAGTACAATTTGATAGTTTCTCATGCAGTTCAAGCTGGCTTGAAATTCCTTATGTAGACAAGTATGACCTTGAACTTCTGATCTTTTAGTTGTAATTCACAACTTCTCCATGAATACTTACTAAACTCTGAAGTTACTATTTCTTCCTTCCCAAAAAATTCAAGTATGTTGAAGAAGTTTGATTCTGATAGGTCCTCCCAACTTAAGGCCTATAATTTTCCTGTCTTTTGCTTCTCAGGTTTTGAGGACTACAGCCTAAACGCCATCATTTTATAAGGCATTATTCAGATCTTCTTATTAATTTATTTGTTTGTCCTTGTTTCTCAAACCTTTCTTTTGGAATAATTTTCTGTATTTCTGTTATATATTTCTGCTGGAAGTTCCTTTATTGTTCATGGGAAACCCCAGATCTTGTTTTATTTGATGTCTTTGTTTTATTTTCACTATAAAAGTCTGTTTCAGTCCAGGCAGTGGTGGCACAGGCCTTTAATCCCAGCACTTGGGAGGACAGGCTCCAAAACTACAGAGAAACCCTGTCTCAAAAAAACTAAAAAAAAAAAAAAAAGCCCAAAAAACAAAAACAAACAAACAAACAAACAAAAACTGGGGAGGCCCTAGGCCCTGTCCCAAATGATATGACAGACTTCAATGATCCCCCATAGAAGGCCTCACCCTTTCTACGGTATAATGATATTCGATGCTATATATGGAAAACAATATATTTATTTACCAGAGAGAGAGAGAGAGTCGCACAGACCAGGAGTTAGAAGCCTGGCTGGCTTCCAGGAGAAAAGGGAGGTTCCTTTTTCTTTCACTTCCTTTTATATCTACCTGTGTCAGTTTACATGTCTCCGCCCTCATGGGCGGATAGCTTTGGGGGGTTCACTCCTACACTATGGAGCTGAAGAGGGATGGGATGTGGGTTGGTGGGGGGTGTGGGAGGATGGAAGGGAGAGGGAACTGGGATTGATATATATAATAAGATTGTTTCTAATTTAAATAAAAATATAAAAATAAAACTAAAAGAAAGAAAGAAAAAAGTCTGTTTTATTAGGCAAAATATTCTTGGTGGTTATTTTGCTCTCCTCTTGAAAAGAATTGCTCTACTTCCTAATGGTTTTCATTTTTCTCTCTCTGCCTTTAAAATGTTCACTTTGTCTTTGACAAACTCTATTTTTACTACCAATTTTTCACACATGATCATTTTTTCCCATTTCTTGTTTTGCTAATCTTTTTGTGTACTTATCGGTTTTAGAAAACATCCAGAACTGGAGAGGTGGCTCAGTGGTTAAGAGCACTGGCTGCTCTTCCGGAGGATCCGAGTTTGACTCCTGACGCCTGTGTGGCAGTCCCCATCATCTGTGTCCCCAGTTCAGGGGATCTTCTGGCCTCTGAGGGGATTGCATGCATGTGGTATACAGATGATATGCATGCTGGCAAAGCACCCATACACATAAAATAAAAATAAAGGAAAACATTAAAAAAAAACCCTCTAGTTACTGACCTTTAAAATAATGGCTTTCCAGGCTGCCTGTGGTGAGCCAAGCATTTAATCTTAGTACTCATGAGACTGAAGAAGGCAGATCTCTTTGACTTTGAGGCTAGCCTGGTCTACATGGAGAGTTTCAGGTCAGCTAGGGCAACACAGTGAGGCCCTGTCTCTGAAAAGGAAAAAAAAAATTGCTTCCTGGAGCTGCTGAGACAGCTCAGCAGTTAGAAGTGTATACTCCTCTTGCAGGGGACCCAAGTTGGGCTCCCAGGATTCTTGTTAGGCAGCTCACAGCCACCTGTAACTCCAGCTCCAAGGGACGTGACACCGCTAGCCTCCAAGGGCACCTGCACTTACATGCACATATCCATACATACATACAATAGGAAGTGAAATAAATCTTTAAAAAGATTAATGGTTTCCCTTCCATTCTCTCCATTGAGGTCTGGATTAAATGCACCACATTTTCAGTCTACATGACACATCCCTTAATCTTTTTCATATTTTCATCTTCATGTCTTTCTGTCTGAATAGTATCAGACATATATTCAAATTAGCTATCCATCTCTTCAGACTTGTTTAATGTGCCAGTTAACTCTTTTGACCACCTTTTGTTGGTGTCGTTGGTTTGCTCTTTTTGAGACATGTTCTCATGTAACCTGGGCTGCTCACTGCTGTCTTCTGTTCCTCCAAGCATTCTATCATTGCTTTGAATCCAATAATCCCAACACCTTACGACTTTGCAGGTTTGAATCATTTGCATCTTAAATTGTCTCTCATCCATGGTGATTTGTTTCCTTGTTATTTATTGACCTCTTTGTTGTTGTTGTTGTTGTTAATTCTTCCTGCTGCCTGAGACGGGACTTCACTGTGTAGCCCAGGCTGACCTGAAACTCGGGACTCCTCTTCATCAGCATCCCAGGTGCTGAGATTACAGGCATGTGTCACCACATCTCTTAACTCATCTTTGATTGGTTTTAGTATCAGAAAATTTAAAGGGCTTTCTCCTCAGGAGATCAGCAGTTTCATCTGCAAGTGTCTTGTACACTATCAGCAGGGAGACCTTTTCTAAGACATCAACCTAATCTAAGAGTCTCAAGCTTAACTCTTCTTACCTCACCAGTGGGCTAAGCACAGTTTTCCAATACAATTCTAATGCCTTTTTAGCCTTCTTTGTGAGATCCTTTCAACCCAACTCCACAAGATACAGTGTCTGAGGTTCCAGAGACCTGTCTTGAGCTTTCCTCACTTTCTGCTCTGCACAGTCTCCTAAAATAATGCCATCAACTTCAGTGGCTCAGTACCCTGGATCCCCCGTGTTGCCCTCCAAGACTTTTGTTCATGCTTCTCCCACTTGGAATATGTCCTCCTATCCCCTGTAAAACCTGATGTGTGTTCTTTGAGTACCTTATATTATATCTACTTCTGTTATTTCTCTTACACACTGTATTGTAATATTCTGTTCACTTACTGTCTTCCTCTGTGAGATTTTTTTTCTGGATAGAAGTCATGACACAATACCTTTATCATGTATCTGGGATATAGTCAGCGGTAAACAGGTAAATATTTGTTTAGTAACTAAGAGAACACATGACTGACTGACTAACTGATGAATGTGATGGTTTGGGAATGGATGATTTGCAATTTGGAAAGAAAGTGAAAGAAGGTTAAGAGAAAAAGGGAATAACTTATACATTTAGGTTATTCACTTGTTCAGTTTGCATACGTGGAGATAAAGTTTTTTCATTTCATCAAAAGTTTATTGAGCATCCAGGGTATGCTACGCACCCTGCCAGATGCTAGTAATACAAAGATGAAGATCAAAACAAAGCAAAACAAAAATTAAAAAAAAAACTTCCTTACTTACCCCCGATTTAAGGCAAAATTGGCTTGAGCCTGGGAAGCCAGCCCTGCCGGGATACAGCACCAGGATATGACATGTTCTCATCTCAACCCTGTATCTCAAAGCTGACCAAGGTAGTCCTCCAGGTCTTACATCTCCTAACCTGCCTGTACTGTCACCTACGCTCACTATTTGATGGTGGGTGAGGCAGCTGGGAAGGTTAGTGGATTGTGGGTTCTGGCTAAGCTAGGAGAGCTGCAGACAGTCAAGCCTGCTACAGACAGTCAAGCCTGCTACAGACAGTCAAGCCTGCTGCAGACAGTCAAGCCTGCTGCAGACAGTCAAGCCTGCTACAGACAGACAGTCAAGCCTGCTCCAGGAGCAGGGAGATCATCAGAATGGAGAGCTGAGAGACTCGCAGGTGAGGTGAGGGCGTGCAGGCAAGGCAGAAATCTTGGTGCCTGCAGGGCTGGAGCAAAGTGTGTTCTGGTGTAGAGGTGATGAATATAGGGCCTTGGGAGTTGCTCATGGAGTGATGCAGAGGCAGAGCTGAAGTTTAGGTGTTGAGGAGGGACAAGGGACACAAGGTCCTTGGGGGCATTAGGTAAGAGAGGGCAGAACATCCGGGACCTTCTTGTCTTTCGGCCATGTGCGCTTTCTGTCTTCACACAGTAGGTTGTTTTCTTTCTTCCAACATGCCCAAAGAGGTGGTGGCCCGGGAGTGGCCCTGCCCTTAGTCTTCTGATGATACAGATTACAGAGCAGGCTCCATGGCTGGTGGAAAGCAGGAGGATTGGGGTGGGCCATGGCTGCCCTGACATTTTGGGGAGCACTAAGCTTCTTCTTCTTTCCATGTTTCTCTGGAGAGTGGAATCTTATTTCCTTGAAGCTCCAGGAAGCCCCCACAACCGTCCTGAGGATGATTGAAAGCCTCGTTTTGTAAGAAAGGAAGAAAGAAGCATGTGAACGGTTAACATCAGGTCTTTGCCAGATGCAACTCTCTAGGTCAGTGGTGAGTGGGTATGCAAGCTCCACAGCAGTGGTCCTCAACCTTCCTAACGCTGCGACCCTTTAATACAGTTCCTCATGTTGTGCTGACCTCCAACTATACAATTATTTTGTTGCTACATCATAACTGTAATTTTGTTACTGTTATGAATTGTAATGTCAATATCTGACATGTGACACCCTCCCTCAAAGGGGTTTTGACCTTTAGGTTGAGAACCATTGCTCTATAGGCACAAGCCCGCCCACCTTCTCATGAACAACGACAGGGAGAAAGATCCGTATGGCATGCTTCTGAGGAAGCCATTGGAGGCCACCAAGCACTGGAGGCCTGCTATGTTGTCCCTGCTTAGTCCTATGGTCCTAGGAATGCACGTGGAGTTCACCTCACACTCTGGAGGGATGGGGAACCAGGTGTACAGAATAGGTCCTTTAAGACAATGACTTCTCTGTGGTCAGAATAGGTCCTGTCCACCCAGGAGCCAGCACTGTGGGTAAGTGGACCCTAATTTGGGCTGGGGGTGGGGGGGAGTACCGCAGACATTAGGGATCGGAGGCATGAGGGTTGGGAGGTGGATTGGAAGCATCCTATGCACCCCAGGGGGATGCATAGGATGATCTCACTGGATAAAATTACAGATGTTAGTTTCCATAAAACCCTTTAGAGGATTGGGTCGGACATTTAATAATCTATGTAGTCCTAAGAGGGCACAGCTCATACCCACTGAGAACACAGCCAGTAAACCCAGCACACATGCAACAGGGTTTAACACCGAGATCAGCGCTCCACCCATTTGTGCAAGCTCACACACGTGGGCACCCTAAACGGGGATCAGGCCACGATCTCTCCCTCGCTCCAGGCCAGTGGCACAGGGGCTTCTCAGGCTCCCCCCTGCTGCGGACAGCAGAACGTGGGCAACCGGAGCGGGCTCCCAAGGCAGCTCAGGCACTGATCTCCACCTGCCCAGCTTCGTCTTGCTCGCGGATTTTGTGCACGCCCGCAGTCCGCAGTGTATGCGAGGCGCTGCGTGAGCGGCTGGGCGAGCTCGGGGCTCGCGGCGGTGAAGTGTGCGTCCGGCCGGTGGCTGGAGATAGCGCTGGGGAGCGCGGGTAGCGGCGGGCTGAGCGGATGGGCAGACCCGGAGAACGGCCCGGCACAGGCGGTGACACGGAGTAGCCGGGTGGGCCAGGCTCTGTGGTGCTCCGAGGCTCTGTAGCGGGGTTCTCATCCGGTTCAGAGGAGTCCTGCAAACACAAGTGCTACAATGGTCAGCGGTGTCGTTCCCCCCCCCCCCTTCCCCGACCCTATCTAGGAGCGCGTTTTGTTTTAGGTACCGGGACTACGGGGGGTGGGTGGGTGGAGGGGAACCTCAGAGTTTTCACCTCCACCTCCACGTCTGACTTGGTGGCAGACACACATCTAGGAATACACAACACTTAGTACTGTCCAGGCACATGAAAAGTACTCAGTAAATGTTAGCAAGAATCAGTGCTTTTTCATCTTTCAGACCTGGTCGTGATGAATGAGGCTATTGCATTGCCTGTGAGCAGAGCACAGAGGAAGGGTTCTGAAGCCCATAAGTAGGTCTTGTGACAGGAAATAGCCTGGGCGTGGTGGAAGCTGGGGAAGTGCATGAGATTTGGAATCAGGTTTGCATATTGTGAAAGCCAGGTCTGTCACTCATTTACTTGTTTTTGTTAGCCCTTTGCAAGGTCTCTCTCTCTCTCTCTCTCTCTCTCTCTCTCTCTCTCTCTCTCTCTCTCTCTCTCTCTCTCTCTCTCTCTCTCTCAAATGGAGATGACACAAAGATTTCTGCAAATACTGTAAAGGGATGGTCACATCATTGGCCCCCTAGTGTTCCGTGGGGACTTCTTGACAGAGCGGCTCACCTTGTCCTTCAGGATATAGAGCGCCATTGGGTTCTTCCGCTCCTGTTCTCCGCTTCGCGGTAAGGTGTCTGCTGCATGGGGAAAGAACAGAGTTCTGGTCCAGGAACAAGTCCTATATCCCACCCAGCACCTATAAGCTTTGCCCGCGCCCGGCTTTGCTCTTCTGACTTCCTCATCGCCCACTCTTCCTTTTCCCAGCGGCCCCACTGATCTGAGTGCTGATGGGCGGGGACCAGTGGAAGGCTGAGAGCTCACCTTCTGATTTCAGGCGGTCATCGTTCTGATCCATGTATTCCAAAGAGTTTTGCTTCTCCAACTTCCTCTTCTTCCTGCAAATCAGTTCGACCCCCCCCCCACCAAGAGCAGAGCTATTGAGTGGGAACAGAAAAATCTAAGGAATGGACACAAGAAGGGTTCTAATGACCGCAGAAGAAACTTTATGATGGGAAGATGGGCTGGGAATGGTGGTAGTCAAGGAACTTTAGAATGAGTCCCATCTAGGTTTGCATGCCAAGGCTGTTGTAAGCATTGTGACTGTGGGTAGGCCATTTATCCAAAGTGAGTTTCAGCATCTTTTTCTGTAAACTGCAGGTGTTTTGACTTAAAAGGTAGCACACTAACCCAGCTAGACTGTATAACCCCAAGCTGACACCGTCATCAACAGTGCTGGAGTGGTCAGACCTAACTGAGCACAGACGCAGTTCCATATACTACGGAAAAATACACCTGGAAAGAGACCCACCCTAGGAGGAAAAACTCAAAGACGTGAGAACAGAACTTGGGAGCTGGGACGGAGGGCTAGCTCAGCCTTATAAGCTTGAGGAACTGAGTTCAAGTCTAAGAATCTACATAAAAAAGATGGGTGTGGCAGCACACAACTGTCATCCCAGCACTGGGAAAAGTAGAGACAGGCAGATCCCTGAGGCTCAGTGTCCAGGTGGTTTAATCTAGTTCATCTGATCCAGGCAAATAAAGACCCCGCCTCACAAAAGCAAAACAACAACAACAAACCAAAGTGCGTGGCCTCTGAAGAATAACACTGGAGGTTTGTGTCTGGCATCCACAAACCATGGGCGTCTATACGCACATGCCCTGACACCAATGCACATCCATACTCACACCTATATAGGCATGTTCATGAGCACAACAAACACACACACAAACACAGAACAGAGGCTTGGGAATAGGAATGCAGCTCAGTAACAGAGAGCTTGCCTGGTCTGTACATGACCCCAGATTCAATGTTAGTAACACAGTCGACCACTCAATATCAAACTTGGGGTTGAAATAGGCTGAAGGAAGAACTAAAGTGTGAAAGTTGATGTTACCTAGATTTTTTGGAGGGTTTCCAGCAGGCACAGACTGTCACCAGGGTCACAAGGAGGAAGATGCCTCCCGTAGACAAGATGATATAGAGGGAGCTTCTTCCTAAGCAAAGAGAGGCAGAGAGGTAGGGGCAATTTGAGAAGGGGAGCAGGTGTGGTGAGCAGAACACTAGCAACCGAGGGAGTAGAAAAGGCCCCAGTAGCATGGATAGGCGATGGCAGAGCTTCCCTGGAGCCTCCCTCCCACTTGTGGCTGTCCTCCAGGGGCAGTCAGCCTGTCTCTAACCTGTCCCACTCCCTCTAAACCAGTGATTCTCAACCTGTGGGTCTCAACCTTTCACAGGGGTCACCCAAGACCATGGAAAAGCATGGGTATTTATATTACAATTCATAACGGTAGCAAAATTACAGTTACGAAGTAGCAACGGAAATAATTTTATGGTTGGGGTCACTACAACATGAGGAACTGTATTAAAGGGTTGCATCAGTAGGAAGGTTGAGAACCACTGTGCTAGACAGTCACTCTCTGTAATGCCTTTAGTCCCAGTGGACACATATCTTGGGCAGGCAGGGAGACTTACTATACACGGTGATCTTGACAGGCAAGCTTCGGACCTGGCTGATAGGGTTCTCCACCACACAGCTGTACAGGTCATCGTCCTCCATGAGCACTCGGGTGATGGTGAGCACCTTTTGGTCAGGGGAAAGGAGCATTCGGGAGTCGTTGAGGAGGGGTTTGCCATCCTTCAGCCAGGTGTAGCTCGGTTTGGTTCCGTTCTCATGGGAGCAGTTGAGGGTGAAGGCCTCGCTGAGCTCCAGCACAGTGGTTGAAGCCACTAACACCTGTGGCCTTGAAATGGGCACTGAACCCCAGAAATGGGAAGGTGGAAATGCTCGTGAGTCATAGTCTACAACACGATTCTCCCCTACTTTATTCTCCTGTCTTTGAAAATATAACAGTTCAGACTGTGGGCCAAGAAGTCCCTCAAGAGATCCTTAGCTTAGTCTTTCCCATGATTTATCCATCCATCCATCCATCCATCCATCCATCTATCCAACCGCTCATTCTTAATCAAGCAACTTCTAGACTGAGCAACACAGCCATGGTAAATGTGCTAGTTCCTTTCTTCCTAAATACCATTCTAAAACCACTGAGCTTTACTTAAACTAGTCAAGCCTAGAAGACACTTTAGTTGGGGGAAATCTAGGTCCAACTCTCTAGGTTTAACACTAGGCTCTGTCAGTCATATGAGCTTGGGCAAGTTAATCTCTTTTCCTTGTCTTCAAAGTGGAGAGAGTGACATTATCTAGCCTGTGATTTTTGTAAATGTTAAGTGGGCTGTTCCACACAAATATTCTATTCATGTTAGCTGTGCCTCGGCACCACCTTCTAATGCCCATTCAACCTTTTGCATTCTCTTGGGTCTAGCCTTAGTCCCAGCCTGGTCCCGCCTCCTTCCCTGCTGAATGCTTTACCATCTACGGTGAGGTTGATGGTCTTCTCCCCTGTGAAGGTATCATCAGTGATGGAGATCTCCACTTCGTAGGTTCCCTCATCTGCCAGCTGCAGGTCGCTGAGAAGCAAGGAGCCATTTTCGAAGAGCCGGATCCGGTCTCTATAGTCGGGCCTCAGAGTGCCAATGACCTCTGTGCCTATAGACTGCACCACCGTCACCGGCTTGTCACGCTTCAGCTGCCACTTCACCACAGGCTTGTCGCTGCTGGTGCTACTGTACTGCACAGAGAGCAGAGCAGACTTCCCCACCGTGCCATGGATCAGACGTACTGGGCTGGTGATGTTCACCCCCTCCAGGGGGACTGCAAACAGAGGCCCATTGGGCAAGAGGGCAGTGTCAGGCCCTTGGCTCTACAGCCACCTCCACCTTGAAACCCTCTAACCTTCCTCACACCTCCAGGCCTTTAACTTCCTGCCAGTCCCGACTTCTTACCTAGTCAGCACAATCCCCTCTCCAACCGTTCTTTGCTCTCTCTCTTCTGTCTTTCTGTCCTCATCACCCTCCCAAGTCTTCTACGTCTCTGTCACTCTGGCCTTTCCTCATTGCCCACTTCTTGCAGACGATCACACCTATCCTACATTCTACACCGTAGAACTGTTGATCGAACACCCCATGTGCCAAATCTAATGTGGAATCAGGGTGGCGGGAAATGGAGAGAGCACGGGAACTCAGGTTCCCAGAAAGGGAAGGATGTATACGGAGACAGTGCTCCAGAAGAGCATCCTTAGGACCTGAAGACAGCACAGGTACTTCCCAGTCTCACCAAGAGTCCCAAGCCCTTACCCCAGGTATCACTGTATCTTACCAGGAGGGCTCAGTATAAAGAACATCGGCAAATGGGGAGGAAGTTCTGGGGATTCACTAAACGCCAGCCCTGTTTGTGTTCTCTACAGAGGAAGCATCTGACTGGGTAGAATTAAGAGTTTCTCAGACCCCAGTCTCCTCTTTTATAAAAGAAAAATAGTGACTATAAACCAGGTACTGGCCAGGCAGTGGTGTGGCATGCCTTTAATCCCAGAACTCAGGAGGCAGAAGCAGGTGGATCTCAATGAGTTTGAGGCCAGCCTACTCTACCAAGTGAAATTCCAGGACAGCCAGGACTGTTACACACAGAAACCCTGTCTCAAAAAAACCAACACAACACAACACAACAAAAACAACAACAGGCACCAGCCTATAATCCCATCTCTTCAGAGGTAGAGGCAGGCGGATAAGAATTTCAAAATCATTTTTGACTACACAGTGAGTTGAGGTATGAGGCCAGCCTAGGATACATGAGACCCTATCTCAAAAACAAAACAAACAAACAAACAAAAAACAGGAAAAATGTATATAGAGAGGTGAGGATTCAGGGCTGTGCTTTCCATTTCTTATTCTAATTGTACTAGCTTGTACAGACCAAATCAAGAAATAAGTGAACTAAAAGTTTGGTTATTAACTAAAGCAAATTTTATTTGCTAAACACATTCAATTCATTTTCAGAGCAGGTGCTTCCTCCTTTCTGTAAAAGGTCAAGGAAAAGTCAGTTAACTACCTTTCCACCTCTCTGAGCCTCGGTTTCTTCCTTTGTGCAATGAGGCAGTTAGTGAGACAAGATGATCTGTAAGCAATTTCCAACTCTCACATTCTATATCATCATCAGCCAGTATCACTCAAACTTCAAGAGATGATGCTGCAGAAAAAGCAGCTGTAGGTGTGAATATCTGAGTACAGTTTGCTTATTGGAGGGAAATTGTAAGTTGGGGAAGTTAGAACAAATAACTATTTGTAAACTTTTTATTTTGTCTTGAGAGTCTTGCTGTGTTGTCCAGGATGACCTCTATCTCGCAATTGTCTTGCCTCAACCTGCAGGGTACTGGGGTGACAGAAGCATGCCAAAACACCCATCTCATAACTATTTTATATCAATTTTTGAGATAGTATCTCATGGATCCAAGGCTGGTCTCAAACTTGCTATGTAGGCAAGAATGATCTTGCACTCCTGATCTTCCTGTCTCCACCTCCTGAGTCCTGAGATTGTTGGCATGTGTCGCCATGCCCAGTTTTATACAGTGCTTAGGAGGATCCTAGGGTTTCATGTACACTAGGCAAGCTCTTCATCAATTGGGCTATATTGTAGCCTCTCAAACATGACTTTTAAAGATTTATTTTTATTTTATGTGTATAAGTGTTTTACCTGAATATATATATATTCACCACATGCCTGTCTGGTACCTAGGGAGGCCAGAAGAAGGTAGGTGTCATGTCCTCTGGAACTAGAGTTACAGGTAGTGTTACCTACCGTGTAGGTGCTGGGAATCAAACCTGGGTCTTCTGCAAGAACAAGTGCTCTTAACTGCTGAGCCATCTCTCCAGCCTTAAAGATTTATTTGTTTTTGTTTTTTATTTGTCTGTATCTGTGTGTCTATGTGAATGTATATTTAAACAGGTCTAGGTGCCTGTGGAGGCCAGAAGAAGACACTGAAGCTGCACTTATAGGCTTTTGTGTACCACTTTGCCAAAGTATTGGAAACTGAACTCAAGTCTTTTAGGACATGAAGAAGTGCTCTTAACTTCAGAGCTCTCTCTGTAGTGCTTTTCCCCAAATAACTTTTTTTTGAGACAGGGTCCCACTGTGTAGTCGTGGCTGGTCTGGAACTTGCTAAATAGACCAGGCTGACCTTGAGTTCACAGAGATCCACCTGCCCCTGCCAAGTGCTGTGATTAAATGCATTTGACATTATTCCTGACCTAATCTCAAACACTTTTTTAAACAAAAAATATTTTTGTTTTCCTAAAAATCTTACATAAAAAGATTTATGGCCCTATCTACTGTTTGTTTTGGCAGAAAAGATGATGGGACCTGAGTCCTCTCCCCAATAACACAAAGAGTTTCTAGGATTCCGGTGGTCCTGTGTGTCAACACTGAAATCCAACTGACAACATGATCTGTAAAGTTTCTTTCAACTTTCAGTTTATGTGATGACTTAAATGGTTCCATTTCAGCTAGATTTAGAAAAGAAGCTTTCAAATATCCCTGAGTAAGCAAAGGGGCTTTGGAACTACGTGAGGTGGTTCTGGGAAAAATCATGGAGCATGCTTAAAGGCCACCATGGTGATGCTCAAATAGTGACGGAGCATCTACTCACTTGTCAGTACCCAGTCTGAAAATGTAGGATAAGCACATGCCAGTTATATGTGTGGAGCCACCCCAGAGGCTAGCAAATCTGAGTAAGGAAAGGCTAGAGAGAGGGCACAGCGGTTAAGACCACTGTAGCAGAGGATGCAAGTTCAAGTCCCAGCACCCATGCCAGGTGGTTCATAACCACCCGTAATTCCATTTCCAGGAAATATGATGTCTTCTTTTGGCCTCTGTGGGCACTGAAGACATATGTGTGTGATATATTGTTTATGATTTATTACAGCCACTGGAGATCAAAATAGCAAAGCAACCATACTAGTTAGCCATAGAAGTCAGGCACACACCTTTAATCCCAGGACTCAGGATTAAGAGGTAGACAGATCTCTGAGTCCAAGACCACTCTGGGCTACCGGAGAGTTAATCAGAGTTTACACCTTTAATTCCAGGATTTGAGAAGTATAAAAGGTAGAGGCATTCAGTCTGAGAGTTAGTCTCCAGCCACCATGAGGAAAGTATAGCAGTCTGAGTGGATCTGAGAAGTCGGGAGCAGTCTGAAGATCGCCCCTTCATTCTGAGCTGAGGTAGATGTAAGAGGTAGTGACCAGCTGCTTTGCTTCTCTGATCTTCAGGTTGAAGATTGAGCCCCAATATCTGTCTCTGGGTCTTTTATTTATCATTTTACACACATGCACATACACACATACATAAATGAAAAATAAAATAAATATTTTTTTAAATTGAGGAACTTGAGAGATGTTTTAGCAGTTAAGAGTATTGGTTGCTCTTCCTGGGTCCGGGATTCAATTCTCAGCACTCACATGGCAACTGACAAGTCTCTGTAACTCCAGTTTTAGGGGATCCAACACCCTCACACAGACACATATGCAGGCAAAACACCAATAAATGCAAACAAAATAAGCATAAATAAATCATTTTTAAAAATAAAAATTTTGAGTGACAGCCCTACTCTGGTTTGGACGTGGTTTGTCCCTCAAGGGTTTCTGTATTGTAAGCCTTTTCTCCAAGGTGGTGGTAGTAGGAGAAAAAGAAACCTTTGAGGATACAGTGGATTAGCTCACGGGGAGTACTGTCCTTGGAGTGAATTCAAGTAGTTATTGTGGGACTTTGTGTTAATTTTCCAGAAGTTAAATTGTTACAAAAGAATGGGTCTAAGTAACCACCACCCCTCCCCGCTTCCTGTTTTACTGTGTGATCTCTCTTCTCCTATACATTCTTTGTATTGTGTTATGATAGGATGTAGTTGAGGGTCCTCTCCAGAGCTGGTGTTATGCTGTTGGGAATTTCTACCTCCAAAACGATGCGCTACATAAACTCCCTTTCATTATTAACTGTTCAGCCATAGATACTTCACTATAGAAATGGAAAACTGATGAATAGAGGTCCCAAGCACCAGACTTTGAGGCCTCTCATTCCCTTCTAACAGTGATAATCCCAGACCTCAGACAAGTAGAAGGTATTAATTGCCCTGATTTCCGCCCCCCATTATATTGTCTCCTGTTCCATTCCAAGGTTGCAATAGCCCTTTTTGTGATGCTGCCCCCTCTAATTCTGCTTTTTAAAAAGAAATCAATTTAGATTATATTGCGGATTAAAACAAAACAAAAACACTGGAGAAGATACGGCCTTTGACTGCCTCCTAATTTACCCTAGCTCAGGTGGCAGCCCTTCTTATGCTTGTGAACACGGGTATGCCCACAAATAGAAGGGATGCACTCACCCTCATTGTGAGAGGATGGCGCCATCTTTCTTGGATGCTGATGACAAGGACATTTTTGCTAAGCATGAACAGTTGCCTAGAAACTGGAAAGAATCTAAGTTTGGGTTTCATAACTTTCAGGCGGCATAGTGAACTGGGACAGGAGCCAAAGCAGGACACAGAAATGAGGAAATGGCTAACACCTCAGGTCCAGAGAAGCAATAAAAGGGAGGAGAATTATTCAAGCTGGAGAAGCAGTTAACTTAATCATCATCTCTGAGGAATTGTCATGTAGAAAGTCTCTGCTTCCACCATAGGAAAAAAATTTACCATCTCTGCAAGATCTATCTAACTAAACAATGTCTTGACGTTTATAAAGGTCAGAAGCTCCACTGGGTTGACCTCCTGTGACTCCGAGGAAAGGCAAACTTCAAGAATGTATCTGCACGGAGCTGTGATCCTC